AAGCATATATTAGCTCCTATATTTGCACAACAAAACATTGACCCCACTTCCTTCAAAAAAAAATACCAAATTATAAGAGTTGTTATTTTGCTTTGCTCTTTTCTAGATTCTTCTATACATATGCATGTATGTGTATGTACATATATATATATATATATATATAATGGTGTATGCAACAAGTGAATTAATATGTTGATTAAGGTCTCACTCAAGACAAGACTATTGCTGTATAATATTCATTTAACATTTATTTTTCAATGTTTGTATCAGTCTCAAGTTGTGTCCCTCTACACAAAAGTCTACATTGCAGTTTTTCTATACAGTAAGTCTAGAACTGTTCACACAATCATATTGTGTATTTGACCAAATCTATTTTTTCTGATCCTTTGAAAATTGGGTTGACCTTATGGTTATGGGTTGTAGAAAATAAATAAACAAACAATAAATTATCTAACTTTCAATGGAGGAAAAGAAACATATATACATCGGATAGCATGACCATTACTACATTTACCCATTTATTTATTTTTATTACATTAGCCACATTATTTTTGTTGGGCTTATTATTATATTGAATGAGCATTAATGAATTCATGCATACAGAGTGAAAATTGTTGTCCCTGTGTAACATCTAAACTTACATTACCATTCAAGAAACTTTTAGCTTCCTATATAATACTTGTTTTGTTACAAGAATTTCCAGCTAGATATGCATCGAAATAATACCAAGAAGAATCTTTCGTAAGGATGAAACTTCAATTCCATTCAAATTCTCTATTACAGTCCAACATCCAACCAATTGTGGGCAACTTCAAAAGATGTCCCTACACCATTTCAATAATATAAATCATAATATGTATGTATGTATCCATACACTAGGAAAATCCATGCTGTTGGCAACAAAAAAAAATTATTTACTGAAAAATATTTATTAAAAATTATGATGGCTGATCTCACAGTAATTTGACCATGTCTAGTGATCTTACATTACTACTCTACAATGTGATAATCATGTAACATGCACATTGTGATATCTAATTAATCAAAAGTTGAGTTATTGCTTCACTTTGATGAAAATAATGAAATATGCAGCCAATCAAAGATGGTTTTTGTCTCCTATGATTTATCCTATTTGTTTATCCCTTGAGATATTTTATGTAAGAGATATATAATTAGAAGCATAGATAAGAAACAAAATGGACAAGTAGTAGGCAATGACTATGTAGAATAGAACTCCTACTCATCCATCCACCCATCCATAAATTGGATAAAAAAATAAAAAATAAAAAATAAAAAATTTTCTCACATAATATTTCATAATTTTTCAAAAGATATACCAAAAACCAATACCATGAGATTTGTGTAGACGTAATTATATTAACTCGAGAAAACATAAGGCATTTCTATAAAAGTAGCTTAAAACTGTTATTAATGGGAGTTAAGGGAAAAAGAGTTCAAATAATGACTAAGTTACAAGTTAGTCATTGATAAATGAATTGGGTGGTTATCAAAGATTAATGAGGTTGATTCATAATAATAACATGGGTGTAAAATAACTCCTTTTAAAATATTCTCTTATTTTATTATTTCATTTTTCTTCTTAAGATATTCTTGTTAGGAAGAAAAAAGAAAAAAATGGTACTTAAAACATAAAAAAATATAAGATTTTAATTTTTATACATATCATCATAGATATGTCTTTTTTAAAAATAGCATGAATGTTTCTGAAGATATTATTAGGGATTCCAGAGATAAGCATAAGACCATCTTTAAAACTTTCACACAATGAAGGAATTTAAACAAATTACAACAACCAGAATTTTAGAACAATGTTTTTTATATTATTATCTAAAGTTGGATGAATACATACATACATACATACATACATACTTCTGTCAGGAAGATATCAATTTCCCAGAGATACAAATCTGAATTATTATTAAAAATAAAAATGATTAATACAATTCATCTTCAGACAATTTTTTCCTCAAGCACTGTATGAATGTATGAACATATATATATATATATATATATATATGTATGTGTGTGTGTGTGTGTCTATTTCCTAGAGCATTAATATCTTGAGTAATAATATTAATTTTATACCCTCCAAACAACACTTTTGTTGGATCACCAGAAAATCTTAATTATTATACAACACATGTCAACAATGTTAGATAGACAGACATCTTTTTATTTTATTTAAATGATGCAATCAAATCTCAACACACCACATCTAATTACTTGCTTTGTATCTACATGTCTATTACTTTGGAAAAGTAATTTGATTTCCATCCCTTTGAATAGCTTGCATGGTTTTATATATCATATTAACAACTCACAAACTATTCACCTCATGAGCCTTATACTTCATACACATTCTGTACAATAGCACATGGATTGATATGGAATATATATAACTTTGATTGATGCTAACCATTTTTTTTCCTTCTCCTTCTTTTGTTATTATTCCCTCAAATGATTCCATTTTATTGTAGCCCACACATGAAAGGAGGTGCAAAAGTGAATGTCTTTTGGAATAACTAAATATTCTTTGGACACGAGGGAAAAAAATTAATTTAAAAATAAATAAAAATAAAATGCATCTCTCCTTGCTCCATTATTTAATATGGCAAAGTGGGGTTCATCCCACATTGCCAAATAAATTATGTAAATTACAAGATTTGAAATAAATTAAAAATGAAAAAATCACATGGGAGTGCATGCTGGGCCATATCTTTTCTGATGATCCTGTTACACACATTATAGAAGCTACTTCACTTTATTCTTTGAACCTAGATTATCAATTGTGAAAAAACAAGTTTGCATTTGTTTCAAAAAGGTTCCTAGTACTTTCTCCCATAAAGTTACCTTAATTTAGTCTTCCTTTAATAATAAACACCATTAAAGATAATTCCATGAAATAATAATAATAATAATCATAATAAAAACAAAAACAGAACACTACTAATTCTCTGAATTCATTCATTGTTATCTTCTTCATGTCCTTGGCTAGTTACATGTACTCATTTACTTCTCTTTCTTTTTGACAATGTGGGATGCTGCTACTTGTTTCAAGTTGTCTATATGAATATAAGTTCATCACACCAATCTCACAACACAAAAATGAAGGAAACATGGGAACACATAAAAATACACACACACACACACACACACACACATATATATATATATATATATTGTTTAGTGTTATTGAGAGACTTGTTCCAAGCTCTGACAAAAATACATATTGTTAGGAAGGAGGGAGGCTGTTATGAAGGACAACTGAAGGTGGCCAAATAAATTATAAAGAGCTTCAAAGAATGCTGCATTAAAAAGGCATTAAAAAGGAAAAGTGACGACTCCACCTCCTTTGGTGCCACAGAACCCGATCACCGGCAGCTCGGCAGAATGTTTCCCACCTTGAAACACCCCCTTCCACGCCTTCCGATGCCACGCGCATCGGACGGCATTACCGCATCGATTTGTGGACCCACTAAACACCGTCAGATCATTTTGAATCACGTGGGCGGCTCTCGACCGTCGATTCGTTGTCTCATTCCTTTGCCCTTTGTGGTGCGCGTCGAAGTAGGTTCATACGATCGCATATATAATCGTATAATACAACATGGTATCGTATCGTATCATACTCTATATGTCGTAGTTTACCATTATGTATTTGCCGTGTCCCGGGTATTGTACACACAGTGTGTGGAATCTTGTGATGCGTGTTTCACACTGCGAATTTTATATTTTTTCTTCTTCTACGCACCCCCGCTGGTCTTCACTGGGCCCACTGAGACTTTTCATTGAAAATATCTCTCCACTTCTGTGGTCTGGCTTGGATGGGGCTATATTTCGCAAGTTGTGGATTCAGAAATAGAGACGATTGCTAGTGTAATGTAGATCTCTATTCTCGAAGCATATTATATGTATATTTATTTCTACTTCTACTTTTGTTTGGATCCAAAATAAGCTTGAAATCTTCGAATCCTTTTTCAAACATGTGCACTTCAAAATGAGATTGGATAGGTCTAACAATAGCGTGTTTCTCATAACAACTCGTTATTATTAGAGTTCCCTTCAATCAAAAGAAATCATACAACTTTAGTAAACATATCTTCAAATCTGACTTACCCCAGTGTACTTCGCTTTTTATCACTTCACGGGTTACTAAACTTAACAAATATTTGCCTTGATAATGAGATCATTATAAGATCTATTTATTAGTGTCCCTATGATGAGCATTAATGTCGTTAAAGTTACATTGACACGTATGATGACTATGTTTTGGCGAACAGCCAATATATATTTAGATAGAAATATTTGAGCATGTAACAATAACAATAATGAGGAATAATAATAACAGTAACTGTGGTGTTTAGCTTTGTTTTGTTTTGTTTGCAGACAAAGCTGTTCGTCAAAATCTCTTGGTGTTTGTTTTTCAATGCAAGCAACTTACAAGATGGTTGCAAAGTGAAGGAGGAGGAGAAAAAGGGAGCACCAAGACATGCCTAACTACCGTGAGGAGGAGCTGGCTTTTGGGGCTTCTTTGACTGAGTGGAGACTCCATGGCGTATACACTTTGTATGAAGAAAGTCCAAGGGTGCCAGATTCTTGAACTGGAACTGGAACTGGTGAGGCAACTCAACCAGAGCAACAACAACAAAATAATAATAATAATAATAATACTAACAAAAGCACAAGCTGCCAAGGGACAGGAGTGACCCACCATAATATTAAGTTATTATTATTATTATTATTATCTATCTATATATGAATATGAAATTTGTGGGGTAGACATGTGTCCTTGACTAAAAGACATGGATTTTATTCGTTTTTTCCATTCACTGAAAAGAGTATGCCACTGGCACTATCTCTCTCACACACACAGTACCTCCTTATATATATATATATATATATATATATCTGTATATAAAATATTCCGTATGTTGTCAAGTCAAAGCTGGTGGGTTCTGGAACATTCTGGTAGTACTGTGTGGCAAGTTACTCAATCAATCTCTCTCTCAGTTGATTAATCAGCCATCAGTTGAAAACATACACAAACACACACACACACACAAACTAAGTGGAAAGATGGGATTTACATGGAATGGAAGTGAAAGCCTTCTATTTCACAGCCTCCTTCCAATCTTGCACTATGTTTATATGTTTGGGATCTAAAGGATGAACTGGCACTGCTCATCGAAGTGCAGGCAGTCCAAGTCCAAGTCTAAGACCCCCCGCTTCCCTTTTCTCCTTCATCTCCTCCTTCTGTCACTGCCAGGGTGTCAAAATTCTCTATGGCAATCAAGTAACAGGGATATAAAAAGTACCTTTTGGCACCAATCTGTACTCCAGGTTGAAGGGGAAAAATTACAAATCATATATATATATATATATATATATACATATATATAAAATAATAATAATAGTAAAAGGCAGGAAGGAGATGTACCTGAGCTTGATGGAGGAGGATGGCCCATGTGTGTCTCATGCCCTTGTCTTGTCCTTGCCTCAAGGCTTCTTCTATAATTGTAGTTGCTGGCCCTGCCCCCAACCCCCCACCCCAACCATGTTATCTATTACCATGCATGAATACAGGATAACAATATTATTGTTACTGAAGAAAAAAGGAAAAAAGAAGAAAACAACAAAGTAGTTGAAAGAAAGTAAGAAGCAAGCAAATAAAGTCGTTAGTTTAATAACGAGGGCAAGGAACAAATCTGAGTTGTGACGAGTAGCTGGAAACATGGATTATCTAATGGTTGCAAAGTGATTTGAAGCTCAGAGTATTGATTTGTTCTTGCGTGAACAAAGTCAACATGAGTTGCATGGAGTTGCAATTGTCGCCGTGCTTGAGAGGAGCTTCATGATAAGGTCCTGATATTTCAGAAGCAAAATATGATGATCAGAGGGGTTTGCTTGAAGTTTAATCAACCACACACGCTGCCAACTGGTGAGCATGAACACACAAGGGATCTATCTACCCATCACTGTTTTTGTTTTTATTTTTTATACTAGTAGCATACGCAATTGAGTCACAAGGGTATCTCGCTCACAATTTACTGCAGATCAGATTCAGCAACTCTTTCGAAGTACTGGAATGCCTGTATGAATACTCATATGAAGCCCGCGAGACAACAAACAAACAAACAAACAAACAAACAGAGATAAAAAAATGCGTCTCACTTGCTGATCACTCGTTGCTTATATTGCAAAAGAGAAACGGGCATGTTTGACGGTCATCTAGCAGTTCTTTTTCACCAGTTGAAACATTGACTTTCTTTCTACTTCACCGCACATTCATCATCGATCGGTTCTCACTAGCTGAAAGCTAGTGAAAATCCACTATGTACAATGCCCAGACAAATTCACTTGCACTTGCACATGCGTTTGCAGTTCTGGTCATAAACAGCCTCTGGAATAACTCCACACGACGTCGACAACAACAACACCTCACTGTAACCTCCCTCTCTCTCTCTTCCTTACACAAGACCACCAACATTGGACCTGCTGCAGTGTAGGAATTCAAGGCTTATCAGCTGAGGACAAAATCATTCCCCCAAGGACGATACTCAAGCCTGTTCCAACGCCCTCTCCCCTTCCCTCCCCCTCAAGCTGCACACCAACAGACCCTTGTGCACCGATTCCTACTGGTCGTTCACGTGGATTTGTTCCTCTGCGTAGAGGGTGAGCCAATCTGATGGGCCTCACTGTCACAGCTCCCACGCTGCTCCCCATTTGCTGTGCCTACTCGGCAGCACACCATCATACCACAACCACAACAAACTCATGCTCATGCGTTCGTAACAAACTCAAACCTCGCGTTTCAGTCTCATTCCTCCGTAGTATGGCCTCGAGCATGGAGCCCAGATGTGTCACTGCCTGTAACGGGACGTTTGTCTTGCACTTCCTCTTGGTGCTACAACATCACGTGCTAGTAATCTACCGCGACAACATTGCCAAACACATCTCGTATTAAGCTTCTCCTCTGCATTTCATGTGTGTTTGTAGCTTCCTGTGCGACTAGTGGAGGTCAGTGGATTGATGAGTGTCTGAGAGAGAGAGAAACGAAAGTATTTGTGTGTTTGGAGTCATTACTTTGCAATGAATTCACTTTGTTAGAAGGCGCATTGAGAGTCTTACTTGCAGAAAACTCATTTCTGTTATTGTGATTCTCGAACTATCAACACTGTTTCGTTCAACCTCTTCTGATATTTCATACCGCTTCAGATTGAAATGTTTATTAAATGAACTTTGATATGTTTTAAGATTTTACTCGTAGTATCAGATTGTATTTGTATGTATGTATGTATGTATGTATGTATGTATGTATGTATGCATGCATGCATATGTACATGGGTTTAATGAGTGTTTTTTCTTTCTCAGTTGATTGATAATAGTTGAATATAAAATAGGTGATTGCAAACGTAATGAAAAACGTCTATTTAATATATAAAATATTTACTCCGTTTTGAAAAAAAATGCCAATTTAAAACAACAGTTCATAAGATAATTCAAATATATCCAATCGATTCATTATATGATAATAAACACAATGTTTTTTTTTTTTTTTTTTTTTTTTTTTTTCTCTATTATTTATTTCTGTCCAATACATTTACCACTATTCACATCACAATAACAATTGTACATTGATTGAACAATCTTTGGCTTCTGTTTGTTTTGTTTTGTTTTTTTTTTTTAAAATTTTTATCTTCAGCTTCTTACAGAATTTCATCCAGCAATGTTGACTATTCACACACGAGATTTACACTAGTGAAGTTTATCATTAGTTATTAGAAAAATGAGCAATTATGATACCAGTAAGTCATGTTAATACACGTATCTAGAATTTCTACATTTACGTTATTTTTGTGTATGTTTGTCAATACATACATTTACGACTGAAATATTTCTCAATACATATTTGTATGAGTCACTATCTTGAGGATGCCAAGGGTTAGTAGATTTGAACCAAAGATACAGTAATCGACATAAAACATAACCACACTAATCAGATTTTAGTTTTATTTCATCATGCCTATCACGATACCCAAGTTGAACATGCAAATCGTTCTCGAACATGTACGCACTCTCTGTATATAAAACAAGCCCAAATCTAAGAATGCCAAATGCAGTTAGTTCATACGAAGACTTGTCTGTGACAGTGAATTCCTGCAAGTGTAAGATTTCCTCAAAGAAACTTGCATGCGACAGAACCATCGACATCTACGCAGGCTAAGTGTGTGTATCTATGACGTTGCAAACTGAGCACTCAGGCTCATGGTCCCATGACTGATCTAAAGGGAATACTGCAGCACTTCACCAGGAGAAACACAACTGGTATCCGAAACACCACACCATAGATTGATACATCGGCACGATTGCACTGTAAACTGGTCTCTTTCGGGAGTGGATTCATTCGATCGACCATGTTACAGACACCTCCTCGAAATCGGCAAGCCCACAGGCCAAGTGGGTTGGATCGAGGCATGCAACAACAGGTCAGGGTGTGATACCAACGAAACTGTTACCTTTCTTCTCCTTTCCTTCTCATTGCAGTTGTGGGTGCAGTGGTCACGCAACCGGAGCGTTGTTGTTGCTTCATGGTTTGCATTATGGGTAGAATCAGCAGCGAAGGAATAGAGGGCGAGGGCTCGGTGTCGGTGATCGATGTGGTGCAAAGCCATCCTTAAGAATCTGTTCTTGCTACCGTTGAACTACCCTTCGTTGGATGAATGGATTGGATGAATGATATGATACTTGGATGGATGTCGTGGATGAACGATAGGATGTTTGGATGGATATGGTGGATGAATATTTTGGATAGATGAACACGATGGATAAATGGATTGGTTGGATGGATGTGGTGGATAAATGGATGAACTACTTGATTGTGTGTTATTTTATTACAATTGTGTTATTACAAAATCATGACCCCCATTGAGTTTGCGTCCACACATGGTAAAGTAAGAAGATGCTTTAAAGATAGTTTGGACCTATGTCTTCAATTTGAAGAAAAAGTACTAGTGAAGTTGGATAAATAAATATAATTTTCATGCAATTTATTTTTGCAAAAATAAAATCTAGATTCAAATTTGTCATTAGAGTCTTAGTAACCAAAGTACAACATATTGTCTTGGTTAAAGAATTTTAGTTCTTAGTTAATACAGAATTATAGAAAATATGTGATATCATACAAACCTCTTGCAAAAAATAAAAATTAAAGAAATAAAATCATATATTCTCTTTACTAATAATTTTCTTGTGTCATATAATAAAGTATCATGTCTAATATAAATAATATTTGGTTACAATCATGATATCAATTGTCTTTCAAAGTTAGTAATTTTGAACTTTTTATTTTTATAAATTTGATGTTATTTTTGATGCACAAGTATTTGAATTTTCAATAGTTAGACAACACTATTTTTATTTTATTATACTTTGATTTTTGGAAATAAAGTAGGCTATTTTATTTTCATTTTTTTTAATGTGTTTTTTTTTTATAGAATAATTACTTCTAAATTAGTATTGAATTTTTTGCTCAATATTTTTTTGTAGAACTGAGATTATAGAGACTTTGTGGTCATAAAGTATCTTGTTTCAAGCTAGTTTTATTGAATATTATTTTTTTCTTATTGTAGTTGTATCAAATATGAAACTAAAATTAATAAAGCTATAATAACTCACATTAAATAATATGTGTATAGCAATACTAAAAGTATTGATTTTTTCAATATTTAATAAAATTTCAATAGTACACATATTATTTATATACTATTATATCAATTAAGTAAAGTATTTTTTTTTAATAATGATCTCTACTTTATTGTTTGAATCTATATTTATTTACCACATTTAGAAGTTATTTGTATATCATAAATACTTGGTAGCTTTACTACTATGGGTACAAATTATGTAATTTTGTTATTCTTTACATATCATTATTTTATTTTTAATGATTTATATTTTATTAAATTATCCTTAGATTGATTGATTATTTAAACTTTATTTAATTTTAAAACAATCAATATGTATACCAAGATAGATAACAATTTTTTAAAAATTAATAATTCATTATCCACTAGTTTTCCTATGTAAAATAGATATATCAATAAATTTTTGTTTATAAAATAATATCACAAAACAAATTATTTATATTCATACTTAATTTTATTAAATAAAAATAAATCTATTTTGTTAAAATTTGCAAATAGAAATATAATTCAATAAATAATTCATAAATGTTATAATAAAAAGAATCATATACACATCAGTATATAATAAGACTTTATGATTGTGATACAAAAATAAAATTACATCCAAAAAGAAAATTAAAATTAAAATTAAAATAAACAATGAATAAGAAATCAAATCACTCATAACAATCAATCATTTGTTAAAACCTTATTATAAATAAAAATAAAATCTTGTATTCAACACATGAAAATGTATACCTAAAAATTCTCAAGAGTCGAATTAACTAAGATAATAAAAGCATGCACAAAGAATTGCATATCATCTTCCACTCCTAAATAGCACTTTTAGAGATTATCAACCGTTACATGGGCAATAGGACAATATAAAAATAACCTTCGTTTCGTAGAGGTTTGACATTCCTTCATTAAAGAATTTCTACGTAAGCACTACTGTTTCCATTCACATAAAGCACAAACGATGTTCCACACTAAGAAAAAAGAAATTGAATATAGTAAGCATTATAAAACCTGATTACGGTTTGAGTTTCACCAGAATTTTTTCGTTAGGAGATATTGTGATATCAACCCCTCAACAATTTTTTTTGATTGCAGCAATAGGAGAGTGCCCAGTAAACGCTACACGGGATAGTTCGAAAACATCAGACAAGACGATAAATGAATCCTTGTTATCCTTTGAACTGGGATTTGGATGGACGAGGCAGAAACTTTTTCAAATGATAGTAAGTGTTTTGTACCTAAAGTTAATGTGCAACACATGGAGGGCGGCTCTCTTCACCGACTGCTCCAATGCACTTACAACACAAAAATTTTACCCTGCTCAGATTCAGCACACTGTACATCAAAATGCTGTATTAAGATGTGGCTGTGGGGTTTTTGCTTACATTCTCTGACTGACTGCAGTAGTGACTGTCGCCCAAATGCTCCTCACCGCAACACAGAAATACGACCCTAGTCTTTATAGAGCAGTTGAATGCTAACAAGAGCTACAGACAGACGTACTCCCACCAAAAGTCTAACTTTGGAAGAACAGAGATGTGATTCTAACTCACCTGAACCCAACATCTACCATTTTTCCTTCCAATCTCGAAACATGTTTTCTGGTTCAACAACGTTGAGAACCTGAGCATGTTGATGGTAATTTGAAGCTTAGCACCGACTTGTACCCTGAATGTAACCTCAGAAGTACAAAAATGGAAGCATAATATAGCTAAAATCAACTATGAAAAGCTAAGGAATTTGTAAGAATTGCTACAAAATAAATGAGGGAAATGAACCAGTGAACGGCCTCGCCCTTGCAGTTTCAAACACAAAAGACTGCTCCACATTCAGTAGCCACAACCCACAGTAAATCTGAGATCTTCTAATAAAATTATAGACGTATCATTGAATCCCACAATATAAAAAATAGTCTTCAATGAATCCTTTTTTCAATATCTTTTCAAAAGTTTAGAAATACTTAAAAAAAATATTACTTCTAAATTTAATATGTTAAAGAAATGGAATTGAAAATACATATGAATTTTTTAAAATTAAGAACCGAAGCCTTGTGTTTATCAAATCTTTGACAAATAATCAAGCAATGCTTGAAATAAAATAAAAAAATATTAAAAATAATATCTAATGATTTTGTAGAAGAATTCAAAATTTACTTTTTTGAAAAAATAGAACATATAAAAAATTAAACTACAAAATAGATATTAAACATGTCTCTAAGTTTGATGGTTTCTGTTTTAACCTATAAAAATATAAAATAAACATTCATTTTTAAAATAAAAAAACATAGTTTCTAGTAAATAGTGAAGAATCCTTATTAATGGTGCCAACTATAGTTAAAATAGCTCTTAGAACTCTAACTTTACATGCCAAAAGAGCAAAAAGTAAAAACATTTGAAAAAATAGAAATGCCTTTATTTTAACAATTATTAATAATTATCTTAAAAATCATTTCACATGTTTAA